CACATTCCACGACATCCGCATGCCATAATTTGTGCGGCCATTTCTCATTGATGGGCACCCCCTTTCCAGCTCTTTGCTAAGAACCAAAAGTGCTGCAGAAAACGTCTTTGCACATCCATCTACTTTCTGGATCTTCGCAGGCCTGGCAGTTAGCTAAGTCGGCAGATGTTGACTTCCAGGGCGGGCGCAGTGGAGTGGCTTCCAGAATGGCTGCGTCAATCCACAGCTCCCCCACCAGTGTGGCAGGTTGTACCGGCGGGGAGTCCTTCAGGCCCCACATCCCAAACTGGGGGCTGTGCATCCTGGAGACAAAGCTGAACTCATTCTCTCTTGGCCTCCACCACTTCCCCGTTGTCCAGAGAGAGCTCCACCATCTTTCTGGTCACCCTCATTCACAAACCTTCACATCATCCTTGACTCTTTCCCCCTTCCTCCTCCCAGTCAATCAGCTGCCCAGTCTTCCCAAGTCTAGTTCCACGAGCTCTCTCTCGTCGGCCCCCTGGGTTCTCGACCTCATCACCTCTTGCCTCTTAATTGTTCTTCCTGCCCCAAGTCTCTTCCACCTTCCACAGAAGTGCCAGCGATTTCCCTAAAGCACAGGCCTGGCCCCCCCAGCCCTGCTCAGATCCAACACAGACTCCTCCGCCCTACAACTTAAACCCTTCACAGCCTGAAGCCTCCCTTTCTAGTTCACCACATACACTAGGCTGACCCTCTGGCTCCTCCTCACCCCATGCCATCTTACCTGTCTTTCTCCTGGGTGTCCCCCACAAGTGGAATGTTTCCTCTTCATCCTCTGCCTCAGACAATCCCTAGCTTCTGTCAAAGCTCAGCTTGAAGACCACCTCCTACAGGAAGTCTTCTTGGATGTCCCCACTGCTCCCTATCAAAACAACTTTGCATGTACATTGTGAGGTTCTCCTCCACCTCCCAATAGAATGGAAGTTCCTTGAGGGCAAGGAACTGTCACCTTTTGTCTTTGTAACTCCAGAGCCCAGGGCAATGCCTGGCATGCAGGAAGCATTTCAGAGTTTGTGCATGGACTTTGGGGATGTTCCTTCTCAACACTGACCCTGAACTGAGGGCCTCTGCTCCATTTGGGATGATTTTCACTGGTCACAAACCTACCTGGAGGGGGCCTTATCTACGGTGAAGTTCACACTCATGTCTCAAGCGACAGCAATACTTTACTTGGCTAACAAAGTTGTAAAAATAATGAATCTTTGCAAATAAAATTCCAAGGTAAATGAATGAGAGAATCGGGCTTTAATGGGGACCTTAAGGAATCTATCTGTAAAACGAATAGACAACTTCTCTTCTGTGTATACAGTGAGGACTTCTCATATCGGGTATTTGCCAGAGACGAGACCACTTGGCCGTGACAACGTGAGCTCATTCCTGTGGAGTCCCTTCTCAAGAACTGCATCAATACCAGTTTTGTTTGTTTTCTTCTTTTTCCTTTAATCATTCCTCGTCTAAATGTGTCATTTCCTCTGCCTGACTTCTTTCCTTCCCAAGTACAAAAAAGGGTTAACCAAAATGTTTTCCTTTTGAAAACTGTTAAGACATCAGGGTACTTGGGGCTTTTCTTCACCCCCTGCATCCTCTCCTGGAGGCTTCCTGCTGTGCTCAGTCCCATTTTTCAGCATGACCGTTAAGGTTCATCTCGCCTGCGTGGGGTCCCTTTCTCTCCATCGCTTCACGGCTCTTATTAGCCTGGGCTTTTCATTTGCAAAAGGAAATGGTAATGGAAGAGACTGATTATCAAACTAGCAACAATGTAAGGCGTAGTGTGTCCAAACAATCACTCCAGGCTTTGGGGGAGACACTCTGCTCTGACAGAAGCCAACATTTACCTACAAATGGTCGTTGGAACCTTACAACAGCCCTCCAAGTTATGCACCACATGGAGCTGCAACCCCACTTTCCTTATGAGGAAACTGAGGCCCAGAGAGGTGAAGTGACTGCCTTCCACAGTCAGTGTCCAATGTACCAGGCTGGCACTGGGCTCGAGGCTAGACCTCCATCTGCCTGGCCTGGGCGTGAGCATTCTCTGCAGTGTGGGGGCCCTGGAGATGGGTGAGGCAGAGGGAGGATGTCTATTGCGGGCCAAGGAGGAAGGGAGTCCAGAGAGGGCAGCATAGGCACTTGTACAAAACGCAAGGTGATTACTCAGACTTGTCTGATTCTCCTTGGCACATCTGAGGTTTTTGGCAGAGATCCTGGAGTACTTTGTTGTGTCCTTCTCCTGCTCATGTGACAGATGAAGAAACTGAGGCAAACAGGGTGAAGTGACTTGCCCAGGGTCCCACAGCTAGGAAGTGTCTGAGGCTGAATTTGGACTCAGGAAAATGAGCCCTCCTGATTCCGGGCCTGGCACTCTCTCCACCAAGCTACCGAGCTGCCCCAAAATGCAGGGTTAGTATGATTGAAAAAAATGGGGGAGGTAGGAGGCTGTTGTCCCAAAAGGAAATCTAAGATTCTGGATGGGAAAGAGCAGAACTTCACAAGATGGTGAGGGCCACGGAGTGGTTAAAACGATGCACAAATCAGTGGGATTAAGGAGTAGAGCAATGACGTGGCCATCCCCTATTCCCCACCTTCGGCTGTGAGGAGGAAACCCAAAGTCTCCGAAGACTGGTAGGAGAAGCATGGAGGAAAGAATGGAGAAGCATTGGGCCCTCGGGGAGAGCCCTGGGGAGACAGAAGGAAGGCTTGTGGTGGAACTCTTGGGCAAGAGGTCTGTCAAGCTGCGCAGGACTCAGGGTTCCTGGAAAAGGAGGAAGTAGCCGGAGCAAGGAGCACCTGGACGCCAGTGGGGTCCACAACCTATCTGGTCGAGGGGTGAAAGGGGTGGTACAAAAAATGAGACGGTCCTTGCCTTTGTGTGCCCTTGACCCTGTGACATGACCCATGTGGCCCTGGGCAAGTCACCCACCTACCTCCCAAGGCTGTCGTGAGGATCCAGCAACTTGGTATTTGTAAAGTGCCTTGGAAAGTGTAAAGTGCTGTACAAACACATACTCTCATCATCTGGTTGTGGCCAGCTCCTCTTCCTAGCCCACCTTTGAGGAGGGTCAGCATGGATGATGCCCCTTTCATCCACAGGAAGTAACTCACCGCCAAGAAGGCTGAGTGGCGGCCCCTTGGGTCGGCTGTTCCAAGTTCAGAGTAGCCGCCAGGGTCCGTTGGGTCTCATGACTTCCAATCTTTTGGCCTTGGAAGGAGCTTCCTGCTTCCCCCTAGGCAGACCTGCCCTTCTCCTGGATCGGGGTGAGAATCTGAGTCTCAAGGGACCTCAGCAGCCTCAATCCACAATTTAACCAAACAAACGTCCCCTCGGGACTTATCTGATTTCTTCCAGCCCTTCCCTGAACACCTCAGGAAAGGGGAACCCAGCACCCCCAGCCACCCGGCCGAACGTTTCCACTTTGGGCCAGCTCTCATGTGAGGGAATGGTTCCTAGCCTTTTTGTAATTTCTACCCGCTGTGCCTTGCTCTTCCTTAGAATGAAATGGAACCAGCTTGATCCCAAAGCTGTGGCATCCCTCCTGTGGCCCTTGACCTGATTCAAGGCCCTCCTTTCGACACCCTCCAGCTCGTCTAGAAAACCTGGGGTGCCCCCAACCGAATACAATATCCTCCATGGGGTCCACCACCAGGCAGGGAGAAATGGGTCTAGGCAGGCCGGAGGAGCTGTTTTCTGTCTTTCCCAAGCAGTCATGCTGTTGCCATCAGGGCAGACCTGCCCTAGGGCAGCCCGTTTCTTCAGAGCGCACAAAACCTGACCCTCACCTCTGGCCTCCCCACCCCTGCACCTGGAGGGCCAGGATGGCTGGATGCTAGGGCTCTGCCTTGCTCCCTCAGATGAGGATGATGACCTCAAGCTGACCTAATCATTTTTATTAAATCTAGCTGATAGGGCACTGAGGCGCAGGGAGGCAGTGTATCCATGGAGTGTTCCTTAAATGGTGGCTGTGGGGAGGGGGGTGGTGAGTGCGAGGCCCCTGCTTTCAAGGGGCTCCTAAATGGGAAGGATGTACAAGTGCTAAGGACACAAGGGAGAGATGGTGAACTGGGGGGAATGGGGGGCAGGAAACGCCTCCTACGGGCGGGGGGGCCCAGAACCTGGGGGGACAGGAAAGGCCTCATGGGGGGGGCTTCTGGAACCTGGGGGCAGGGGGTGGGGTCCCAGTCCGGCCCCAAAACCTTAGAGGCGGAGGTGAGGAGGGAGCCATCGGGGTGGTCTCGGGGGTCAGAGGAGCCACACCACGTGGCTGGCAGCAGATGAATGGAGGAGGGGCACAGGGACTGGCAGGGCGGTACCCCCACGACACGGGGTTTGGGGGGCGGGATGAGCTCCCACCCGCTCTGGGATGCCCGACGTGAGGCTGGGGCTCAGGAGAGAGCCTGGGGATGGATGTGGGAACCCCCCCCCCCAGATGCTCTGCAGGGGGCTCGGGACACGTGTGCTGGAGTGGGGGGGGGGGGCGGGGACCCCCTATAATCCATTCCCCGCCCCCCCCCCGCAGCCGCGCCCAGACCCTGAAAGGGGGGGGCCCAGTCAGCGTCAGGAGCCCCCAGGTCTCCGCTCTGTCTCCCTGAGAGGACGCAGCCCCTCCCCAGGGCACGGACACGCGTGGTCCAGGGGAGAGGGGGATGGGCAGATGGGGGCGACCTCGGGCCCCATTTCTGAGGGGAAACTGAGGAAAGGGGGAGGGGCCTCACAGCCCACCGCCCTCCCCATTTCTCAGAGGGGAAACTGAGGAAAGGGGGAGGGGCCTCACAGCTCATGGGTCAGAGCCCTCGTTTCCCGCCCCGCCCCTCAGGCGGCACGTGCGCAGAGACTCTCCGCCCCCTTTACGTCACGTGCCCGGCACCACCCCGAACCGGAGAGCGGCGGGTCACGCGCCTGTGGGTGCAGCCAATGAGCGCTAGCCCCGGCCGGCCGGCCCCGCCCCGGCCGGGCACGTGACCCCCGGTGCCGCGGGGCGGCAGTGCGCGCGCATCCCCCGCTGCCGAGAACGCGCCCGGCGCCTCCCACAGCGCATCCTCGCGGAGCATGGCGGCCGCTAAGGTGAGCGTGGGGGTCCGGGGGCCCGCGTGGGGGTCCGGGGGCCCGCGTGGG